TAATTGGAACGGAAATGGAAATGGTAGTGGTAGTGGTAGTGATAATGGCAATGGTAATGGTAATGGAAATGGTACTGGTAACGGTAATGGCAATGGTGATGGGAATGGGGATTGTAATGGTGATGGCAGCGGTAATGGCAATGGCAATGGTAATGGTAATGGTAATGGCAATGGTGTTGGTAATGCTAATGGTAATGGCAATGGTAATGGTAGTGTCTAACGGTAATAGGAATGGTAATGGTAACGGTAATGGTAACGGGGTGGCGACTGGCAATGGCAAGACAATGGCAATGGCAACGGCACTGGTAATGGCAACGGCAATGGCAATGGGAATGGCAATGGCAATGCAATGGCAATGGCAATTGTAATGGCTATGGATGGTAATGGTAATGGTATTGGCAATGGTAATGGTAGTGGCGAATGGCAACGGCAATGGCAATGGTAATGGTAATGGTAGTGGCGAATGGTAATGGTAGTGGCGAATGGCAATGGCAATGGCAATGGTAATGGTAATGGCAATGACAGAGGTAATGGTAATGGTACTGGGAATGGTAATGGTGACGGTAACGGTAATCGTAATGGTTATGGCAATGGTAACGGGGTAGCGACTGGCAATGGCAATGGCAACGGCGATGGCAATGGCAATGGTAATGGTAATGGCAATGGCAATGGCAATGGGAATGGCAACGGCAATGGCAATGGCAATAGCAATGGCCATGGCAATGATAATGGTAATGGTCATGGCCATGGTAATGGTAATGGTAATGGGGATGGGAATGGGAATGGGAATCGTAGTGGTAATTGGAACGGGAACGGAAATGGAAATGGTAGTGGTAGTGGTAGTGATAATGGCAATGGTAATGGTAATGGAAATGGTACTGGTAACGGTAATGGCAATGGTGATGGGAATGGGGATTGTAATGGTGATGGCAGCGGTAATGGCAATGGCAATGGTAAGGGTAATGGTAATGGTAATGGCAATGGTGTTGGTAATGCTAATGGTAATGGCAATGGTAATGGTAGTGTCTAACGGTAATAGGAATGGTAATGGTAACGGTAATGGTAACGGGGTGGCGACTGGCAATGGCAAGACAATGGCAATGGCAACGGCACTGGTAATGGCAACGGCAATGGCAATGGGAATGGCAATGGCAATGGCAATTGTAATGGCTATGGTAATGGTAATGGTAGTGGTAAAGGTGAAGGTAAAGATAAAGGTAGAGGTAATGGTAATGTGAATGGGAATGGGAATGGGGATGGGAATGGTAATGGTAATGGTAATGGTATTGGGAATGGGAATGGGAGTGGGAGAGATTGAGAGAGAGAGAGAGAGAGAAAGCGAGAGAGGAAATATCATAATAATGATGAGGAGCAACGTGAAAGATCGTAAAAAATCGTTTGAAACCCACAGGGGCTCCACAATCCCCCGGCCTCGGGGTCTCCTGGGGCCTCTTGAGGGGCCTCCTTGGGGCCTCCTGGCGGCCTCTTGGGGCGGAAGGCTCGAGCTTGCGGTTCGTGGTCCCCCTCTGGGCCCCCTCTTGGGCCCGTTTCGGGGCCCTCTTGGGCCATCTTGGGCGCCTCTTGGGCCGTCTTGGGGCCCTCTTGGGCTGTCCTGGGGCCCTCTTGGAAGCTTCTTGGGCCGTCTTGGGGCGGTCTTGGGCGCCTCTTGGGCCGTCCTGTAACGTCGGAAAGCCCAAAAGGCGACTTTGTGAAAAATGTACGTTTTACGCAGGGAATGGGCCAATTCTTGCGTCTAGGGGCCCTCTTGGGACGCATGTTGGAGGCTTCTTGGGGCCTCTTGGGGGCGTCCTTGGACGTCTGGGGTCTCCTGGGGCCTCTTGAGGGGCCTCCTGGGGGCCTCCTGGCGGCCTCTTGGGCCGGAAGGCTCGAGCTTGCGGTTCGTGGTCCCCCTCTGGGCCCCCTCTTGGGCCCGTCTTGGGGCCCTCTTGGGCCATCTTGGGCGCCTCTTGGGCCGTCTTGGGGCCCTCTTGGGCTGTCCTGGGGCCCTCTTGGAAGCTTCTTGGGCCGTCTTGGGGCGGTCTTGGGCGCCTCTTGGGCCGTCCTGTAACGTCGGAAAGCCCAAAAGACACTTTGTTGAAAATGTACGTTTTACGAAGGGAATGGGCCAATTTTTGCGTCTAGGGGCCCTCTTGGGACGCATGTTGGAGGCTTCTTGGGGCGTCTTGGGGGCGTCCTTGGACGTCTGGGGTCTCCTGGGGCCTCTTGAGGGGCCTCCTGGGGGCCTCCTGGCGGCCTCTTGGGGCGGAAGGCTCGAGCTTGCGGTTCGTGGTCCCCCTCTGGGCCCCCTCTTGGGCCCGTCTTGGGGCCCTCTTGGGCCATCTTGGGCGCCTCTTGGGCCGTCTTGGGGCCCTCTTGGGCTGTCCTGGGGCCCTCTTGGAAGCTTCTTGGGCGGTCTTGGGGCGGTCTTGGGCGCCTCTTGGGCCGTCCTGTAACGTCGGAAAGCCCAAAAGACAACTTTGTTGAAAATGTACGTTTTACGAAGGGAATGGGCCAATTTTTGCGTCTAGGGGCCCTCTTGGGACGCATGTTGGAGGCTTCTTGGGGCCTCTTGGGGGCGTCCTTGGACGTCTGGAGGCCATCTTCAGCATCTCGGAGCCCTCTTGGAGGCCTCTTGGAAGTTTCTTGGGCCGTCTTGGGCGCTTCTTGGGCCGTCTTGTCTGACTGGGGAGGCCTCCGGCAAGCCCCGACGAGCCTCCGGGCCCCCCGGGGCGCACATTTGTGGTCGAGGTCCCGGCCCCAGGCCCCCGGACCCGGTGCGCCGTTATATGTATATGTACGTATGTATATACATCTAGATATACACATGCGTGTGTATATATGTATATATGTATATATATATATATATATATATATATACCCCATCGGTCTCCACGAGAGCGCGCGTCACGGCGCACAGGTCCTTTGGAACAATCGAGCTCTGCCCCAGCAGCCATCCAAGATGTTCTCAGACACCAACAACCCTTAGGGCACAATCAAGTGGCACACAGCACTTGAAGGCCTTTATCAGGCTCACCCACTTTCAACCTCATTCATGCTCAGATTCACCCGTACTCCGACCCACTCACACGCAGACTCGCTCATACCTACACCAACTCACACCCCGATTAACGCATATTCAAAATCTCTCATGCTCAGACTCACTCGCACTCATGCTCAACCACACCTGGATCGAACCGCACTCATGCTTACTCGCACTCAAACTCACTCAGAATTAAGCATCGCAGTGCGGTCTCCTAACGGGGGTGGCGCCAGGAAAAATGTCACGGGACAGCTCGCGCCCAGATTAGCCGGACCTCATGAATGGAACGCGCGTTATGCGGGACACGTGTGCGTATGTGTGTGTGCCTAGATGTGTGTGTGTGTGCGTGCCTATATGTGTGTGAGTGCGTGTGTTATCAAAGCCGCGTGATCACCGCGGCGTAGCAAGCAGTGCACCTCGGCACCCCAGAGACATCTCGTGCAAGATCCTCGCCGTGGGGCATGCGCACGTGTGTGCTTTCGAGCCGCGTGATCACCGCGACGCAGCAAGAGCATCATGCTTGTGCCTCCCAGACGGGAGCCGCCAAAGGGCGCTCTGGATGGGGCAATAAGCGCCCCCGCCTTGGATTCGCTGGGGGGGGGATACGTGCTGTCGGAACGGGTGGAGGGTGGCTTTAGAGGAGGAGGAGGAGGAGGAGGAGGAGGAGGAGGAGGAGGAGGACGAGAAGGGGGAGGAGGAGGAGGAGGAGGTGGAGGAGGAGGAGGAAGAGGAGGAGGAGGGGGAGGAGGAGGAGGAGGAGGAGGGGGGGTGATGGGCAAGCTCCGTCGGAAGGTTAGTCACACATCCCAACCAGAGTATGTCATTGGCCCGTTCGCGCCCCGATTTGGGGGACGCGCGCGCTTGGCTTCAGGGCCGCGTGACCGCCGCAACGCAGCAGGCATCGCACTGGGGGCCTCCCAGGGGAAAGGCCACCAACGAGAATGCCGCGGGCCTGTTAGCGCCCAGATTTGGTGGGCCATTTTCCACCACCGCTACCATAGGTAGGAGAGGGAGGAGGAGAAGGACCAGGAGGCGAGAAGGAGGAGGACCTCCTCATCCTCCCTTCTCCCCCGTCCTAAATATGGTAGTGGTGGTGGAAAATGTGCCCATCAAGATTGGTGGGAGCTCTCGAATACAGCGTCCGGCTCGGGGGGACGCAAGCGTCCGTCGAGCCCCATGGTCACCGCAACGTAGCAGGCCGTCTTGGGCGCCTCTGGCGCTGTCTTGGAGCCCTCTAGGGCTGTCTTGTGGCCGTCTTCGAGGCCTCTGGAGCTGTCCTGGAGCGGACATGAGAGAGAGAGAGAGAAGAGAGACAGAGATAGAGAGAGAGAGAGAGACATAGACAGAGACAGAGACAGCAACATGGGAGAGGGATATGTATAGAGAGAGACTATAGCAACATTAATAATACTATTACTACAACTACTAATAATGCAAATAATAGTAATAATACTAATAATAATAATAATAATAATAATAATAATACGATAGTAGTAATAGAAAATAATGGTACTACTAATAATTGTACTAATCATAAAACTCATACGGGTAGTAATAATAAACATAGGTATACATAACACACTAAACAAGAAAACAAAGAAACAAAAAACGTGAGGGTCAGAGGGTGACAGGCAGACAGACAGACAGACAGACAGACAGGCAGACAGACCGACGGACGGACGGACGGACAGACAGACAGACAGATAAACAGACAGACAAGCAGACACGGAGACACACAGACAGACGGACAGACGGACAGACCGACAGACAGACAGACACACACACACACATACAGACAGACAGACAGACAGACGGACAGACGGACAGAGGGAGACAGAGAGGGAGAGAGAGAGAGAGAGAGAGAGAACCTGGGACATAGAGGAGCAGTGCGAGACCCAACTGCTCCCCTCCGCCCCTCCCCCCCACCCCCACTCCCGCCCCATCCCTCCCCCCATCCCTC